TGGTTCCCCGTATTTTAACTTTAAGGGAAGTAATTGCAGAATTAAGAGCAGGTGAAGATATGAAGGGAACTTACAGCTACATCTTGGAGGAGGATCCCAGCCTATGTCCGTACATTTTGCCGTATTTCCCCGGGTGGAAGGGTAAAAGCCACTTTTACAGTAGTATGTGATTACATGTCCCACTCTGTATTTGCTCCTGTCAGCAACGAAGTGACTGTTTGCAATTCTTGGCGGGTCACATGTCATTTCTGAAAAGAAAAAGGACATGTCTATTATGCAGAAATCACATGAAAATCATCAAGGACATGAGAATAAAGTGAATGTCATTTTTTGTTCTTTCCAAAGAGCAAAGTGGCATTCTAGTGAGCACCCTGTCCTTATATATATATCAGCAACAATTATATAGAAACAGTAGAAAATATATATGAACACCTAGACACAAGTGTTCAGTAAAATATGTCTCCAGTATTTGATGTTAATCAGCACTAACCTCAAATGAACCTTAAATATGTTTATTTTTTGCCTGGCCAGTGTGGCTCAGGGGTTGAGTATCGACCCATAAACCAGGATGTCATGGTTGGATTCCCGGTCAGGGCATGTGCCTAGATCAGGGCTCGAACCCCAGTGTGGGGAGTGCAGAAGTAGCTTATGAATGATTCTCATCATTGATGTTTCTCTCTCTCTCTCTGTCTCTCTCTCTCCCTCTCCCTCCTCTCTGAAATCAATAAATATATACTTAAAATGTTTATTTTTTCTCTCACTTTAATTTGCTATATTTATCATATTTTCATATTTCCATTGCAGTCCAGTCTACCTATCTTAGTTTTCACTTCATAGTATAGCTAAACTTAACACCAATGTTTGAAGTCAAAATCTACAAGACATACGAGTATATAAAAACACAAGTTACCCTAAGAGATCAACCAAATAATATTGGGAGAATTTTGTTAAATTAACTAAGAATAGAAGAAATGGTGGTTGCTTTCAAGCAGTGGACATAATTCCCTTGACAAATTGTAATTCCCTACTCTCATCATCTCCATGAAAGTAAATGGTGCTGTTAAAACATTGCCAGGGCAGGTGGCTCTATCCAAAAGAGTGACAGCTGAGACTGTACAAAGTGTGAGGCCACATTGTTCCTACAGTTAGAAGCCATCATTGAGATTTGGGATAAGAATAATAATCCCACATTGGCACTCCCTGTTGTGAATCAGTAGAAACATCCAGTTTGCACAGGGACGGATGAATTGGGCCAAAGGTGGTTTTTATTTAGCCGGTCTCCGTACTTTTCATCATTCTTGCAAGTGACTTATTGTCAGAGACTGTCCTTTAATGAATGCAGTGACTGAAGTTTTTAAAAAAATATATTTGTATTGATTTCAGAGAGGAAGGAGAGAGAGAGAGAGAGAGAGAGAGAGAGAGAGAGAGAGAGAGAGAGAGAAATATAGAGAGTGAAACATCAATAATGAGAGAGCATCATGGATCAGCTGCCTCCTGCAAGCCCGACACTGGGGATGGAGCCCGCAACCCGGACATGTGCCCTGACAGGGAATAGAACCCTGACCTCCTGGTTCCTAGGCCAATGCTCAACCACTGAGCCATGCTGGCCGGACAGAGACTGAAGTTTTGATAAATTACTCTCAACTAAAACCCCAACACTACAAAGCATAGACCAGATGGAAGAAAGTTTGTGCCCTATCCCGGCTAAGGTTATTTGAAAATGTCTTTTATTTAGTTCCACGTTTCTTACAAATTTGGGGAGAATATATGCCCCTGGGGAGGCCTTCACTCTCCACAGGTAGGTCTTTCCCTGTCGCAGGGGAACACGGAGCACATGTGTGCAATGAGCGGAGGCACAGAGAGTGCAGTGCGTGCACAGGGTGGATGGGGTGCACCCCAACAGACACCCGTGAGAAAGAGGGGGTTACCTTGGCAGGACGGAGGCGGGGTCCACCCCGACTGGGTGCAGACGGTCTCTGCTCTTCCGCTGTAACTGTAACCCGGGAGGCACCGGTACTGAAGCCTCTCGTTTTCTCGATACGAGGCCTTAGGAGACGTGGGCTCGCCGTTTGGGATCTTCGGGAGGCTGCAGGAGATGGCTGAGCGCGGGGGTGAAACGCCAAGATGTCTGTTACGTACATGAAGGGATGCGCCCGAGACACAGTTCCCGCAGGTCACCAGCCCTGTTCCATTGGGTCCAGTAGGCAGCCCAGCAGCAGTTCGGTTTTGATTTGAATGCCTGAGGAATCTATCTGTCGCTCTTACCATTCACCTTGTTTTCTTTATTGATTAAGGCATTACATATGTGTCCGTATCCCCCCAGTGCCCCCCGACCCCAAATCCGTTCATGCCCTCACCCCCCTGGTGTCTGTGTCCATTGGTGAGGCCAGTGGTTCTCAACCTTCCCAATGCCGCGACCCTTTAATACAGTTCCTCATGTTGTGGTGACCCCCAATTTCATTGTTACACATTGAACATAATTAAAGCATAGTGATGAATCACAAAACAATATGTAATGATATATGTGTTTTCTGATGGTCTTAGGCGACCCCTGTGAAAGGGTCGTTCGACCGCCAAAGGGGTCGCGACCCACAGGTTGAGAACCGCTGCCTCAGATGGATTACTAGGAAGTAGTAAATGCTCAATAAATGTCACTTAGTATCAGTACCATTTAGATTCTTTAGGAGGCGCAGTGTTTTTGCGATGCCTATTTTCATGAGAAAAAAACGAAAATCAACAGTAGGAGCATCTTACCCACACAGCTGGGCTTATCGCCACTCCAAAGGCCGTTTCCTGAGCAATGTATTTCCGCCGGCCCATCCAGCTTGAAGCCCGCCTTGCACTCAAACCGGACCACTTGGCCGTAAGTATATTCCTGATTCTGTTCGTAGGCGCTGCTGATGAGCTTCCCATTCTGCGGCTCCTCCACGGGCAGACACTTAACCACTGAAAAAGGAACCGCACTTTTTCTAGAAGAATGTGGAAGTTGACCATGAAAAATATGTATCTACACAGATATAGATATAAAAATCAGCAAGATAAGACGGGAGGAAATTACTTAAACGTTTTTGTTTTCTTTTTTTCTTGAGGAAGCATTCAATATAGCTGTTTGCTGGAGATAAAGTCCACTAAGTAAAAAAAACAACAACAATATTGAGTTTATCTCTCAGAATCCCCTGAATTTTAAATAGTGATGCTTGTGTTCTTTCTAGAGGTTAGAATCCAAAAGAAAAGAAAAATAAGTTTTAGATTTCCCAAGCGCTCCTACTTTAAATATTAGATCAGATGAGGCTGAATCCCTATTTGGTTACTGAAACACAACATAATGTAGTAGTAAAAAGGTCAGCTAGACTGTCTGTGCTATTTGAGAAACCATAAGTAACAATTTGCAGAGGAAATATTTAATTATAGACTTGAAGGATATTTTAATGTAAGACATTTAAAAACACCTTAGGTATTTTTAGAATTGTATCTACCGTCACATAGAGGAATATCATTGGTCCATCCATCTGCATCGCATTCTCTGAAATCAGTGTCACCTATCATTTTATACCTGGAAACCAAAAATAGCAGGGGAGTGAGCCAATGTGTGTTCATAAGCAGCTTTAAATTCGATACCATGCTGACTGTCGAAACTCCAATTTAAGGGACTATTAAAAGCATATACATTTGGTTCTTCCACTCTCTCTTTCTGTTTTTATCTCTTAAATTTCTTTTTACCTTTCTTAAATTTTGTTTTTTCTTTCCTAAGAAAGACCCTCAAGCCTTAGGTGGACAGACTGCAGATAACTATAACCCTTGGTTCATGATGCAAACTCTTCATTTCACACACAATATGCTATTATTTTTTCATTGAGTCAGTTAATCGGTTGCACTTAACAACGTAATAAGCTTTATGAACTGTCAGCCCAAAACTAAAGCCATAAACATGATAGTGACCAACAGCTGACCTATGTTACCCCTCCTTCAGCCTTACTTCTCCTCCCCTCCAAGATGGCGGCATTTTCTGCTCACTCTGGGCTTCTTCCTGAATCAAGGATCTTGTCAGGGAAGACTCCTTAGTGTGGGATTTATTTCAGCTCGTGGCCCCATCTCCATCCTAAAGATTCTTTGCAGAGTGTGGTCGTCGAGTCTGCTCTGCTTACATCGCCCATTCGATGTTGAATTTACCTAATCGTACCAACTCCTCAAGCCAGGCCTGAAATCTAAAATTCTCTCCTTGCCCTAACCAGTTTGGCTCAGTGCATAGAGCCTCAGCCTGCGGATTCAAGTGTCCCAGGTTCGAGTCCGGTCAAGGGCATGTACCTTGGTTGCGGGCACATTCCCAGTGGGGGGTGTGCAGGAGGCAGCTGATCGATGTTTCTCTCTCGTCGATGTTTCTAACTCTCTATCCCTCTCCCTTCCTCCCTGTAAAAAAAATCAATAAAATATATTTTAAAAATTATTTAAAAAAAATAATAAAATTCTCTCCTGGAGGGAATGTTCCTTGAGGCGGGTGCAGAATGTGAGGTCCACGCCAGAGGCTTTAACCCTCCCTCACTGTTACAGTGGGGCGCCGCTGCGGGCCAAATGCTTTCCCCCCAAAAAAATCAAGGAAGGGAAGGCCTGTTGGTGACCACAGGGAGGTAGTGCTGACAAGGGCCTTCCATTCCCCTCTGGGAAGTTCCCCATAGACCCTGCTTCCGTCATCTGCAGATGAGGAAGCCGTTCTGCCCACTGCACAAGTACAACAGACAGACTCCTCCTCAAGACAGACTTCGTCTTTCTTGGATTCTCGCTGGTCTGTGCCTCATGCTCTGAGGGCGGGAGACATGTCAGTGGACTGAGTGCGCCCCCAGAGCTGGGCGTCCAGGTGTCTATGCCTGTCTCGGAGGGGAGCGGTCACTGGTTCGGAAATGTGCCCTCCGCTCCTCTGGCCCAGAAAGCAGGTTCCTGCTTAGCACTTTCCATCTACAGCGGACACCCGCCCAGGCCCCCAAAGCTCTTTCAGGAATCCCACAGAATCGGCCCCAAAACCTTCCAGCGGGGGATGCGTAGGAGAGGGGGGGCAGGGAAGAGAGAAAGACTGTGTATGTGCTGATGGGGAGGAGGGAGTTGGGGGGGGCAGGAATGGCTGCTGTTTCTGTATCCCCAGCCAGGCAAAATACCAGACTTTCTGCATAATTCCTCCTTAACGCTTCCTACTTATAGGATAATGGAACTGGGTCTCCATACTAAATATCATAACAAGTGGCTGGTATCCAGCTAAACAGGTATTCAGCAAAGAGAAGGTGAGGGGGGACAAGGGGTCAAGTTTATGGGCAGAAACCATGGGTGTAGCACACCCCTTCTACCATTAGATCTCACAACGGGGCCAAAGATTTACATGCCCTCAGACAGGCAAAACACTATCTCTAATAAAACCTAACAGCAGCATAAAACACTTCAGTTGGCTGACCCTGTGTGGCCCACGGACTTCTTTTTGCTGACAAATATCTAGTCCTGGTGGAGTCCAAGCTGAGTGGTGGGGACAGTCACTGTCAGAGTCTAGAACCCAGGACATCCATACGTTCTTTTTTAAACTGTGGTTTCTTTTTAATATATATATTATTGATTTCAGAGAGGAAGGGAGAGGGAGAGAGAGAGAGAAACATCCAGGATGAGAGAGAATCATGGATCGGCTGCCTCCTGCACGCCCCCTACTGGGGATCGAGCCAGCAATCGGGGCATGTGCCCTGACAGGGAATCAAACTGTGACCTCATTGTAATTTTTCCGTATTGAGGAGAGAATATGGTATCCAGACATCATCCTTTCCATTACCTGATTTTAATTTTGAGGGTTACGTGTGTGCTGCCTATAAAAAGGCTCATAGAAAAATATAGTCACCTTACAAATATAAATTAGGACAGTTCCTATTTACCATATCCGTGATCAATGACCTCAATTCATACACATGGTTTTCGAGTGACTACTTACCCCTCATTACATGTGTAAACTACCCTGGCACCGTACTCAAATTTATTTCCTTCTGCAAGTTCGAATGAGCCGAAGGGCGTGTCTCCTGGGTGACCACAGGGCTTTTCTGAAATGAAGGAAGGCGTCAGTAGTAGCACCTCCCACGGGAAACACATTCACCTAAGACAGTGATGGCGAACCTATGACACGCGTGTCAGAAGTGACACGCGAACTCATTTTTGTGGTTGATTTTTCTTTGTTAAATGGCATTTAAATATATAAAATAAATATCAAAAATATAAATCTTTGTTTTACTCTGGTTGCAAATATCAAAAAATTTCTATATGTGACACGGCACCAGAGTGAAGTTAGGGTTTTTCAAAATGCTGACACGCCGAGCTCAAAAGGTTCGCCATCACTGACCTAAGACTTCAGGACAAGGATGTTATATTAGAGGATGGAATTGAGGATGTGGAAAAGTGAAGAATGGCAAAGTCATTATTTTAGAGTGGAACTTATCTGTACGCTTGCTTTTTGAAATTTGGAAGATTACCTCCCCCATTTTTTAAAATATATGTTTTTACTGATTTTTAGAGAGAGAGGGAGGGGGAGGGATAGGTAGAAATATTCATGAGAAAGAAACATCATGGATCGGCTGCCTCCTGCACGCCCCCGACTGGGGATGGAGCCCGCAACAGGGGCATTGCCTTGACTGAGAATCAAGCCCGTGACCTCTTGGTTCATGGGTTGACACTCAACCACTGAGCACACCAGCCGGGCTACCTCTCTCTTTTAAAGAATAAAGATGGTGTTGTGTTTCGTACTTAAGATAACACTGATATAGTTCAGCCAGTATTGCTACAGAACTAAACGCTCAGTCTTTTCACAACTAAAAGTTTTGGTAAATGCTGCAAATGTGTGGCTGACTTACTCTGACATATCTTGGACGGGTTGAGGGACACCCATTCCCCTCTCCTGCATTCCACGGTGATCACGCCGTACGTCCTGTACCCAGGGCGGCATTTGTAGGTGACCTTCGTGCCTTCCGGGTAGCTCTGTTCAGACCAGATACCCATCAGAATTTCTGTCTGTTTTCTCGGAGGAGGCCCTTGACAATCTACAAACAAGAAAAACAGAACAAGAGTTCAAAGTAGCTATTTAACTAGACAGTATGTTTAGGTTAGTTTTACTTTAAAAAATATACACACACATATATATACTAGAGGCCTGGTGCATGAAAATTCATGCACTCGGGGGTCCCTCAGCCTGGCCTGCACCCTCTCGCAGTCTGAGACCCCTCGGAGGATGTCCACCAGCCAGCTTAGGCCCGCTCTCCTGCGGCTGCCTCTGCGGAAGGTGTGGTACCGGGACCGGGACCATGCAGCCCTCTATCCAGCCGCCTCTTCAGAAGGGGGGGTACCAGGACCACCATGGCTGGCCTGGCGGTTCAGGCTTGCTGGCCCCGCCCCCTGTCCACTGGCCATTCTGGCAGGTCGTTCCGCTGTCTGGTCTAATTAGCATGTTAGCTCTTTATTATATAGGAGGATATATGGTTACAGGTCCAGCCACACGGATGTCTTAATATATATAAAACATATGTTTTAGCTTACAGAAATGGAAGCTGCATAAATTTGTAAGAATAACTTTCCAGAGAAATGCTCATACTTCAGTATATTGTTTTAACTGCTGCCTTGCACTCATCAAGTTGGAAAATATTTACTGGACACCAATGTACGATGTGAAGAAAAACACAATGAATGAAGGATATGCCCTCAGAGGGAATTGAGCTATTACATAAGTAATGAAAGATACAGACTTCCCATTACAAATGGGTCAATTTTCTTTAGAAAAATGAAGCACGGTAAGGTGATATGAACACAGGAAGTGAACAATGATGCTCATGCCTTCTGCCATTATTGCTAATATTCTTAATACTGATTACTGCTTAATTTAGATATAACTACTCCTGATGTTAGAATGAGTACATTAGTGAACCCCCAACACATGACTTTTAAAATGGCAAATTTAAAGATGCATTAAAAAAGAGAGAGAGAGAGAGAATCATGGACATAGACAATAGTGCGGTGATTTCAGGGGTGGAGGGGGATGGGTGGAGGTGGAAGAGGGCACAGAGGAGGTAAATGGGGATGGAAAACATAAAATAAAATAAAAAATAAAGATGCATAGTTATCACCACACATAATTACTGTTATTTTTTTATTGCTAAACTCCTTTCCTTACTTGGTTTTATACTAATGGTTTAACGTTCTATTCTAGAATTTCCTTTTTAAAGACAAGATAAAAAAATAATCGACTAGGACCGATCTCATCATAGAACATATTCATGATTAAAACACTTCACAGTGTTTCAGAGAACAGAGAGCTCCATGCCATACTACAGAGGCACTGGTTTTCTCCTGAAGATTTCGCAAGCTTTTAGCACATTGATGTTTGGGAACTTTGCAAGAAATGATCCCACAGTGCAGTTTTGATTCCTGGAAGGAAGTAAATGTACTTTTTGCCACTAGGTGGTGGTAATACCTCGCCAGGAAACCATACAAACCTCCAGCCTCCTAAGCCAGAGTTCTTTATTTTATTTTATTTTTTTTTACAATTTAATGTTCATGTTTGTTTTTAGGTGAAAATTTTCCAGCTAATTACAGGCTAACAAGCGTTTTTCCCCTTTTGATATTCAGACCCACTTCATGGCGTTCAGATTATTAGAAAAATACATGAGTTAAATTTCAAATGCAGATGCCAATATTGTGAGCCCATAACTATTTCCCACTAATATAGTAACCCTTTGATAAACTTGCTTCCTATTCTGTTATTAAGCTAATGCAATGGAAAAGGAATACAGTTTTCTCAGTTAATTTATTCGACTGAAATTATTTTTACTAATGCAGCGATCTATCGAAAAGAGTAATCCAGACACACACACACACACACACACACACACACACACACACACACACACACAAAATGTAGCCTGATTGCTGGCCAGAGAGGTGACAAGTTTTCTTCCTTTTGGTTACTGTTCTATTTCCAGATGGCACAGTTACACCTTTAATTCTTGATTTTTTCAAATTTAGTTCATGGGTTTTAACAACCAGGTGGAAAAGACAAAGGTAGACATCTCGCGTCATCTTCCTACCAGCTTTTCCCAATATTCACTGTGTGTTCGTTTACTGCCCCTCAGGAGTCCCCAAGCTGACTGATTCCCCTTTTTATGTCAAATAATACTTAAAAGTGCTTCTTTCATGGACTTTAAATGCACATCTTGACTCTTTAAGAAAAGGATGTATCACCCCCGCTCGGTTTTCCCATCTTTCCACGGCCACCTCGTTTCTTAGCTCTGATTACTCTCATCCATCACCTTGACTATGAAACATTCTTGACCACAGGCTTTTGACAGCTGGCTTTGTCTCCTCCTGCAGGCTCTACTTAAACATTATTTCCTTCCCAAACAGCTCAGGATTCATCATTGTTTTATGTTTACTAGACTTTCATCAATCCTCCCATCCACGTTGGCTCCCTAAAGGAAGGACAATCTCTGTCCTCTTTTTAAAAAAAAATATTTTATTGATTTTTTTGAGAGTGAGGAAGGGAGAGGGATAGAAATACCGATGAGAGAGAAACATCATTGATCAGCTGCCTCGTGCACACCCCCACAGGGGATTGAGCTGAAACCTGGGCATGTGCCCTGACCGGGAATTGAACCAGCGGCCTCTTGGTTCCTGACTGGACGCTCAACCACTGAACTACACCGGCTGGGCTATGTACTCTTTTATAGGGTGGAGGGACTTTCATGAATATTAAGCTCTCCCCACTTCAAATGTACCTCCTGTCTACTTGTGTTCTAGTCTTGAATATACTGAGTATTTTCAACTCGTGTCATTACAAAACATTTTAAAGTGATGATTCACCGAATTGTGTCATATCAGTAGTTAAGCCTATCTTATGACCTGGCTTTTATTTGCCTGAATTGACAAAGAGCTAACTGTTCCAAGCTCATTCTCAAAAATTTTCAATTAGACAAAGAGTTATTTTATCCCAAATAGTCAAAATGTTGGCACGGATGTGCACCAACCACATTCTCTTGTATTAAATGGACAGCTCTTTCAGGAGATAGGATTAATTTGAAAGTTTTTGTTATTTTTTTTTGAATAGCCATCTTATTTCTCAAGTTCTAAGTTAATGAATAATCCAAGCTTTCTTTCATGTAAGTATTTACCTGGATTTAAACAATGAATACTTCATCTTACGTGTTTATAGAGTCCATTAAATGCCCATTAATTTTCTTCCCTGGCGAAACACTAGCTGGGTGAACTTTTTATTTGCTTGGTCTGGTTTTCCAAGTGAACAAGACAAAATTATTCAGTCTATAAATATGGAGTATGAATGGATTTGGCTATTGAACTAGAATAGGATTCATTTTACGATAATTTGAGGAACATAATTATAAAATTTTGATCAAAGTTAAAAACAAATACACTTGATATTTTAAAAATCAGTACTCACCTAATTTTTCCACTTTCAAATTTTAAGGGGGCAGTATTAACAAAGACACACAGAGCTAATTGCTGGTTTTCAATGTCAATATATCTATAAACTCGTTTGAAAAGTATTCTCAATCAAATAAAATAAATTATAATAAAATTAAACACTTGAGAAAACATGATCAAATCCAGATTGTTTTGGTAGACTGAAGTTGGTCTCTTTGTTCAATTAGTCTATTTTTCTAAAATTATTTAGCAACTGAATAATTATCATGACAATCTTGGGGATACAAATGAAAAGCGAAAGGGAAGAAAAACAATACACACACTACCCAATTGTGCCTGTGGTGCTTGGGGAAGTTCAATCGATGGAAGAGTTAGAAAGATGGGCAATGGCTTCAGTCCTCCAGTTTTACAGAACTACGTCAGCCCTTTGTACATACCAACATTTTGACTATTTGGGATAAAATAACTCTTTGTCAAATTGAAAATTTTTGAGAATGAGCTTGGAACAGTTAGCTCTTTGTCAATTCAGGCAAATAAAAGCCAGGTTATAAAATAGGCTTAATTATTGATATGATGTTTCCTTAATCTTGAATGTCCCCCTTGTCCTCATCTGGCCAACTCCTACTCAGCCTTCAAAACCCACTCAAGATGTCCTCACCACCCTGCCATATTTCTCTCTCAACCCTACCCCACTCCGTTCTCTCATTCCAATTTGAGTTTCTTGCCTTCTCTAAATGATCATAGACTCCTTTGTTTATCTCCATCACAATTCTTTATATGATCAAATACACTATGTTAGTAAAATGCAATAATCATTCCTTTTGTTTTCCCCACTAACTGACCACCATTTGGAAAGTGCTAGTCAGAGTGTGTGTTGTGTAGCTGTCCATCAATCAAGAACCGATGGTTGAATGAATGAATGAACAAATGGATGAATGAATATGAAACTATCTGGGAACCTTTTCATGATCTCTGTAGGCTATGGACAACTTGTGGAAGGGCATGGTAGATGGTAGCAAATATAGAAGATGAGAGAGGACATGGGAACAGAAGTTCAGTTGCATGAGCCCAAGAAACCCTACCACTTGTAATCCCATTGTCCATCCCGTCCACATGTCCCAAGTTTGAATTTACACTCTACTTTGTGAAGTCCGAAATTATTTTGATTTAGCTCAAAAAACTTTTGGGAGCCTTTGAAGGAACATTTTTATAATCTCTCTTCTATCTATTATATTTCGAGTTAACAAGATTTATGAGAAACTTGGCTCTCTCTCCATTAAAGTGTCAAAACAAATAAAAGTGCTCTGTCAAATCTTTTATTCCCCTTTCCCTTCATTATTTTTTGTGATTTTTTCTCCCTGTTCCATTACTTCCTGAGACATTTTTATAATATTTCCTTATCATTTTAAGCTAAAATGTGGCACTTTTCCCCCCAATTACATCATGTCTTTTTCATGCATTATGTTCTGAAGAAATGGGCAAAGTGCACAGGAGTTGAGAGAACACACATGGATTGGTTGGCAGAGTCATGGCCAGGCTGGGGAGGTGGGGGAGGGGTGTGGGGGGAGGAGGAGGAGGAGGAGGCAGAGCCTGAAAGAAGGGGAAGTGGTGAAAGCTGCAGAACAATCAGGGTTTGAGCAAATAAAAGTGGGTCCACTTAGACTTTGGCTCCAGCCCCGACAATCAAAGGCCAATAATGAACCGTTACTAACCTGGGCTTCCAACTCCGACTTGGGAACTTCCTTGTAGCTAAGAATAGTGTTAGCCATCCTTAAGCAAATTCCCTTCTGGTTGAACAATTTATGCGAGCGAAAGAGGAGCATATGCATTTTTCCAGGACCTGCCTACGCTTACAAATTACAACAACATGGATGGACCCTGGGAACATCATGCTAAGTGAAATACGTCAGACAGAGAAAGCCAAGAACCATACGATGTCACTCCTATGTGGGATACAAAACTGCAACTTATGAACACAAACAGCAGAGTGGCGGCTGCCGGGGTGGGGTGGGGGGGAAAGGGGCTCCTCACATGAGGTGACAGGAGAAGACTTGACTTCGGGTGGTGGGCACGTGGGGCTGTATAGAGATTTCACAACTTAGAAATCCACACATGAAACCTATGTGTTCATGTTGACCAACGTCACCCCAATAAAATTTAACTTAAAAATTTTATTATTAAAAAATACTTCAGAGTTCAAAATAACAAAAAACAAAAAAATAATGAGGCTTGCTTTGGTGCAGTCCCTCCGCATCTCATAGGACGCGTCATCCATTGGACCTAGTCTACCTGGAAATACCTTATCTTCTAGAATCGCTTCGTCTGGTTCTGACCCTGTGTGCTATCCACGTCTCCCTTTTCCCAGGAAAATCCTCGCGGGAAAGTGATCCAGTTACAATAACGCACAGCAAACTCATTTAGTTTCAGGACTATTCGGCCAGCAAGGGAGAAAACAGTTGTGCTATAGCCACTGAAATTCATGTCATTCTTCTCACAGGCCTGGGCAGTGCCTGTGCATGGCGGCATTCCTGAGGCTAAGCTGAGCGTTGCTTTCAACATTCCAGCTGTGCTTATTAGGAAGTGGCGGACTGACAGTCATTCCATGATAATGTATATGGTGCTCAAGTCCCCGGCAGAAGCTGATGTCACACTTAAACATTCAAAGGTGACATAAGGAATCGAAGCTAGAAGTAAGTTACCTGGCATCAGTAACCTCATCAAATAATGTAAATGCCTTTTATTTGATCTTTACCACAAATACTTTGTAGCACCCAACTTTAATATTTCAAATTCTGCTCTGTAGTCATTGAAGAAGTCTAATTAAACTTGGCATGATTCCTGAGTCATCAACATAAGCTAGGAATAGACTAAATCTTTACATGACAAACAATGTCTGCATAGAACCTCAACAAACAACTTGTAAATGGTGAAACACTACCACATGTATTTCTATTAAAAAAATGACAAAAACGCATGTAAAAAAAAGTTTTCTGTGGTTAGCCTGTATCATTGTTCTGGACTGTTTGTCAATAAATAATATTTTACCTTTAAATACTAGTTGTAATATTGATATGTGCAGGGAAATGGTTGTATACCAAGTTTGAAAAGTGGCTGGATCTAAAGTGTACAAGCTAAAAGTCACACAGTTGAATATTAGAACAACATAACTAGAAAGGCTCTATTTTTCAAAAAGTATGAAACACATTGGAATAAACTTGCATGAGTTACTGAAGGATTTAAGTTAAAAAAAATCTGCTATTTTTTCTAGTTTGAAAGACCCTCAGAGCCAGAGGGCCTAGGTTATGTGTGAACTTTCCTCAACGCTGACATGAGTAAACATTTCACTCAAAATGTGTTGGCTTAGCAGAAAGTTTTGAGAACCTAGGAACACTGTGCAATGCATTTGGCTCAGCAATGTCCACCATGTACCTATCACACCATTGCCTGTCAGGAACTAGGAAAGCAAATTTGTTCAGTCGGGTTTAAGAAACGCATCAATCTATCAAGAAATAGTGATAGAATTAAATGTAATGATGAATCCAGAAATTGTCCCCCTGGTATCAGAAGAAACCTCCTTCATTCAAAGTCACTATAGCTGAAGACTGTTATTCTAGAATCAGTCTTATCTACAACCCCAGGGAGAAACCCTACTGAACAAGGTAGGTTATTGCAGAGAAGGTGTGTTCTTCTTATTTTCCAAATTTACATCATATTTTCATTCTAATGATACAAGTAATGGTCATCTATAAGGCCATGGCAACATCAGTTCTAAACGATATTCAGGAAGAGCTAATACTATATCTGAAATAAATCCAATCATTATATGATTTGAAGGCTTTTGCTAATTTCTATTCTGCTTCTCCATATATTCACATACTGCTTAATACCGTGACACAGAGCATTTCAGTGAAAACTGAAAGCAAAAAAGGAAATCATACTTTATGAAAATTACAAATGGAAGTGATCACACATACTACAATTTTCAAAGACAGTTCCAAAAACATTTTCTGAAAACTTCCATGAAATACACTCACACTGAAGAATCAGAATGCCGTGCCACTAAGCCACGTGGATGCTTTAAACTTCGGTGTCCAAAGCCACTCAAACACTAAGTCACACGGCTGGAATAAACCGCATTTTCTAGAGCACATTCTTCTTGCCACAGCGAAAAGACTGCTAGCAAGTGCTTGAAAGTATAGTCGTAGGGAAAAAAAAAAGTCTTTCATTCTTACTCTTACCTTGTGCTACACACACAGACCATAACATGAGCCACAGAATCGTCGCGGGGAGCCTCATTTTGGGGGGCCTGCCAGGGGTGCATGGAGTAGCTGATGCTCACTCGCCCTCCGGGTGTCCTCTGCCCCGGAAAGTTGTGCTGAGTGCAGGGAAGTGCTGGCTCCAGGAGGAAGTTCAAACGCAGCTTGGGAAACAGGGAGATGGCCAGACGCGCCGCCCTCAGGAGCCCTGGCCTAGGGGAGGGAGAGCAGCCCTCTCCTGGCTCCCACTGAATGGGAGCGCTGTGACCTGCGCTGGCTGGGCTTTCAGAAGCCAGGCCCTTCCCTGCGGGAAACTGTTTGGGGTTCTGGGAATGTGCAGCTCTTAACTGATGGCCCTTGGACTCTGAAACCCTCTCCTGACTCACACCCAAAGCAGGTCCATTGTGGGAAACCTCGCGATATGAAATAACAGACGCTCTTTGAAAAATCCTTTTGGGGGAGGGGGTGGAGGGGTCAGCTTTGCCAAAAATGCAGGGGCTGGTGGAATGGGGGGAACTGCTTTTCCTGCAAGGCCTGACCTCAGTCCTCTGAAGGCTTGTTCATAGGGTGTGTGAAGCAACAGGTTCATGCTCCTGCGGCATAAATGAGTTCAGAAAGCAAGAAATGGGGATGCTGATTTTTTAACCCTGTATTGAGACAATCTGCAGGAAGAGAATACAAGCAAGTGGTTTGCTGACTGTTGGGAAGGTGAACACAGCCTGGTAGCCAGCCCCAGGGTCAAGGCACTGAACAGCACTTTCTCCCAGGATCCCCCAGTCCTCCCTTTCCCTCAAGCTCTTGCCTCCCCGCCCAACCCTCAAATGGTGCCCTCTACCCTGTTCTCTAAGAACGTAGACTCAATTGGCCAGTTTTTGTGCTTCCTATAAATCAAATAATGTTATTGATTCCTTAGTGTTGGTTTATTTATTTATTTTAAAGGACTTGTCATTTGAGTGACAAATATTTTTCTATTTTTCTAAAAACTATTTTTATTGATTTCAGAGAGGGAGGGTTAGGGAGGGAGAGAGAGAGAGAGAGAGAGAGAGAGAGAGAGAGAAACATCAAGGATGAGAGAGAATCATGGATCGGCTGCCTCCTGCACACCCCACACTGAGGATGGAGCCCACAACTAGGGCCTGTACCCTGTCTGGGAATTGAACCATGACCTCCTGGTTCATAGGTCGATGCTCAACCACTGAGCCATGCCAGCCAGGCCCTAGGTTCTATTTTGACTAGAAACTAGGTTCTATTCTCTCTCATCATTGATGTTTCTCTCTCCATTCCTCTCTGAAATCAATAAAAAAAGGACCAGGGAATTATCTTTCCTCCTGGCTCACACGAAACACAATGTACCAGTTGCCCTACATACGCGTGGACGAAGGGAAAGGTCATTTTTTCAGGTTTATTTCAACACACCCTCCCTTACGCGGAGAAGCTACACATTCCAGAGGCCCCTTCAAGGGGACGCTGCTGCATCCTCTGATTTACTAACTGGCCCAGAAGAAAAGAATGAAAACACACAGGGGCCTCCGATCTTATTTATTGCCCTTGTTGTGTTGGGCGCTTTTCTAAAACCAGACTGTAAGCTCTTCAAGTAACCCAACCTCCTCAAGGAGAAGAAACACCACCTGCCATCTCCTCGGCCCCTTCCTGGGCCCCACTGCAGAACATTCTGGAAACTTGGGAAGCTTGTGGAGATGGGGATGGGTGGCCTCCCTTTCCTGCACCAGCTGCCTCCCCTGCAGTCCTTTCCTGAGTTCCTAGACATTCACCCGGGCGCCACACCGACCTAACTGCATATTTGGAGTCTGCTCAAGGCTGCAGAACGAATCTGTGAGCAAATCTCTTGTTTGCCTTTGCACGGAGATTGCCTCAACCTTCCAAGCTCTACCGACCTCGCAATAACTGCTGATTAATGATTAATGTTCATGTGTCAGGGGCTGCACGGAACATCTCATCTGCTCGTGCCCTCATAAACCTGGTAAGCTCCTTCTGTTAGTCCCCTTTCACACAAGAGACAGGAGATTAGAACCCAGATGGTCTGGCTTTCAGACAGTTGGACGTACAAACACCAGGCTCACCACCCTTCTGACTCCGTGTATTGTCAGCCATCTTTGCTCCGAACAGAGGAAACTCTCAGCGTTGGTCAATGCCATGAACAAGTGCCCCAGGCAGTCCCACCCCGAAAATAAAGGAAAATGTTAAAGAGCAATCACCCTAGACTTCTGTTAATAGAAACATGTGCCCCTAAACTCCTAGGAGAGAACACCCATCCTTTTTCTTCTGTCCCTTGAAGTGGTAAACCTTTTCATCGTTTGGACCTGTGTAAAGACCTCCTGAGAGAATGAAGACTTTGCCTTCCGGGACTAAAGAAAAAATAAGGGAGGAGGGAGTTAAAAGCTTTCATTTTTGCTTTTTAAAAAATTCTGTTTTTACAGACGGCTACAGAAGACACCTTGCCCTCAAATCTGGTCCCAGCCATGCATAGGATCATTGGTGAAGGGCAAATACACAAATCTGAAAAGTCTCCACACAGACTAGCAAGAAGCATCGGCCATGTGAGTGGCTACCTGATTCCTGGCTAAAGTTTGGAATGAAAGCGATGGGGTCTCTGTTGTGTCTGCATGTTATGCATGTCTGTGGCTACACATGGTGTATACGTGATGTTTTCCAACTTTGGAAGGGCACTGGCAAAATTATTTTGTAAAATAAGTCCTCTGTGTCTTTAAAAATAAGCCTTAATATCAATAGCGTATTTATGGAAACCTGAAACTTGACTCCCTCTCGTGTGCTGATAAAACAGAGTTTTCTTGGACTGCTGGTCTGTTCTTGGTAAGATTGTGAAAGGGTTATGTTTACCTTTTGCGTAATTTGGCTGGAAAACAAGGATTCTGTGTTTAATGAAAACGGCTTCCCGTACTTCTCACTGTCTTTATTGGGTCTGTGATTGTTTAAGAAAATAGATCCTTCTCCGTTAAAAGGGCCACGTTGTGTGTGTGGGTTTTCTTTGTTGTTTGTTTTATACAAATATACAATTCCTTGGTATTTGCCTTTGATTTCTTTCATTGTGACTTTGGTTAAATGAATAACTAAATATTGTCTCACAGTGACCTATGATCTCATTTAATCGAGTGCTTTATACCTTTTGATAAGTTTTACAAACTTCCCCCAAAAATCAAATTTGAAATGAAGCCTAGTTGACCTTGAACTAATTTGGGGATTTTCACGAGGGTCCCTGGAACATCTCAAAACACATGTCCTGTCTTAAATTGGAGATAGTAAACTCAGAGGCTTATTTGATGCATTAAATCCCATGGGAAGCATTGCCAGATGAGACGTGATGCTAGAACTTTCTTTAGGTTGTTTTGCAATAGATATATTATTTTTGTTAATTACATATAGATTATTACACTAAGTAATTGATACATTATTAATATAGTAATTAATACAAGTGTTCCTGCAAAAAGTGCTTCATCTTCAAGGATATTCATGGGAAATCCTCTGAGAAAGACAGGTGTCTGATAATTACTATCAGCCTGCCTTCACTTGGGAGGACAACAATGGACAACAACACGTCATGGGTGGGAGCCCGAGACCTGTCCTTCCTCCCCCACATCAGTAACGCGAGCCCATTACATGGATGACATCATGTGAACATGTGAAGACCACCCTCTGAAGGCCAGCGGGGCCTTTGCTGGAACATCCGTGAGGGAGGTGGTGGGTGGTGAACCCACAAAAACTCAAGGCCAGGCCCTGCAGTGAGGATCTGGGAGTCAATGGGTTGGGTGAGATGTGTGTTTTCCCAGAAGCTGTGGCTGAGAAGGTGCAAGCCTAGCTGACCCCCGAGAACATGGAAGAGGTACATGGCTTGGCGGGGATTTGGAAGTTTCGGGGGACTTTTATGGAGCTCGGTCCTGGAAAGCACCCCTAGGATTCTGGAAGGGGGCAGACATCTGATATACCCCCTTAGAGCAGCAGCTCCTAGCAGACAGAGGAAGAGATCTGGCAAGTTGGAGCCAATGCCTTACAGCTTCTGCCTAGAGATTATGCGAGTCACTTCAACTCTCATTTCATTGTCCTAAGCATGCTCCGTGCATGCACTCAATATAGAAACTATGAAGTGTGGTCCTACTGTGCGCCTCCGACACCCTCCTCTCATTACTTCCTGATTTTGTTGGGTTTAACCTTTACTCTTTGGTTCTCCCACTTACATTCATTTTCATGACTAATTTTCCAATTTCCTTCAAATCTTAGTATTATATTTTAGTGGATTTATTCTTTCTTTCCTTTTTTTCTATTCCCAGTGCTTTCCAACTATGGCTTCTCCACAGTTACTGAGGTCCTAATTTTGATGCATCTTTTTTTCCCCTTCTTTTCATTTCATAATCACATTTTTAAGACAGGCTCTTGGACTCTTTCTTGATTTATTGCATATTCATGAGTTTATTTCTTTTCTACTAAAATGTCAACTTGACTGAAATTTCCAGTACCCAAATGGCACCATACACACTTAGTACAATATTACCGACTATACTCCTTATGCTGTACCTTACATCCCATGACTATTTTGTAAATTCCTAGTCCCTTCCCCGCTGCCACCCAAATTTCTAGTTGGAGTTTGTGATTTGGGCTGCGACTCCCTCCTAGTCCCATCGAATATACAGCAGTTTCTGTGGTTTCTATTTCATTGTTGTTTCAGCTGGAGTTCCAGAGAAAAATAGATAAAATTGCAGAAGCAAAGAATGCTTAATTCACTGAAATTGGGTAAAACTTTGGTCAGTAAAAATATTTTCCAACTGCTTATCTTTTAAAGCCTGTGATTATTATAACATTTTACTTTTTTTTTCTGGGGGACCAGGTGGCCTGATGCTTTGTGGTGGGTGTTGTAATTACCACGAAATGTGAAATCGGGGGCCCGGGCGTGGAATGTTCATCCATGCCAAAGATTGGAAAATTAGCCTCCAAACGGCAGCGAATTTGCTGAGAAACAAAATGTAAGGTTGTTAGCTTTCTGAGGAAATGATTCTGGGCCAAGAAAGGCGAGTAATTATAGCAGTGCAGTGGAGATGCTGTGTGTGACATAAATCTACTGATTAGTGAGGAATGTTCTCAGGACCAAGTGACAGGAGACTGTCTTAGGTAAAGAGAGAACTTGTGGATGCCCAGGAGTGGGAATCCCAGGAGCGCTGCCTGCTTTAGTCACGGTGAGAAAGAGCTCGCGGAGCTGCAAAACGTGGTCCAGCGCCAAGTCTTTCCCAAGGAGGACACACAGCTCCTCCCCAGAAACCCCAGCAGAAAGGGCCTTTAGAA